CCAGGCTGTGGAGATAACAACAAATCCCAGGGCCCTGTGGAAGGATCAGCATCCCTCCTGCTGCAGCCACACTGGGCTGTGCACTGCTGACACTGATGGGGGAGGCTCTGTGTGCCCCTCTCAGCAGCAGGGAGGGTGGAGGAATGCTGCTGCAAGTGAGGGCTGTCTCCACAGCACTCCAGGAATCTGGCAAATCCACCAAATGACTGCAAAGATGTGAAGTAGACAGGAACCAAGTGATAAAAGCATTATGACTGTGGTTCATGCTTTCTTTTTCTCTCTTCCTCCCATCAAAGAAGCCTCTTAAAATTTTTTCAGAGGTGAATGTAAACTTGAGGGTCAGCACAAGTCAGCTTTGGGCTTTTGACCCTGAGTCCAAGCCTAGGACTCCACTGGACACGCAGAAGTGTTTGCTACCCCTTTCTAATATGCAGCCCGGCAGAGAAATGCCTTGCTGTGCCTAGACAAGTTTACAGCAACATTCTTTATTACCCGAAAAAAAAAATAGGGAGGGTGGTAGTTGTTCCTAAGTGGTAAATACAAATAATGACCTGGAAACTCTGATCTTATCATGCTTCTTTTAGTTTTGAGGGGTTCACAGTGGTTTATTTGTGCATGGTGTGGCAAACATCCACAACTAGGCAGAAGTTATCCACATTTATCATTATGATATGAGCTCTGGTACAGAAGAACCTGGCAGACAAATCTTAATAGCATGGGTTTACTGTACTAGGTGCCCAAATTTATTTCCTTGCATTATATTGCACTCAGTTCTGTCCCAATCCCCTGGGTGGGGACTGACCAGACTTGACATGCCGTATTGCTCACTTGCTTGGAGAAAGAATGGTCATGGAAGATTTTTTAAAACTCTTTTCTATGAAAAGGGATGGCGGGGCTTTCTGTCTTCCCAGTCTCCTATGGTTACTTTTATTCTCCCACTGCCATCTGCATCCCTGATGCTCTTTATCCGTGGGCTTAAGCTAATCCCTTGACACCAGGGGGAACAACAACTACATGTTCTCTCTGCCCACTCCCCTAAAACATAAAGTAGAGAATTTCCTGAGGCTAGTATAAATATTAAACCAAAAATCTTCTGAGCAGCTCTCCTCACAGGGGAGTACAGGCTTCTGCTCCCTCTTTCATACACGAGGCAGATCCTACAGTCCATTGCATCTACAGATCAGTGGGACTGAGGGACAGAACAGAGAAATACTAAATAAAACCCCACAACAACCACAAACACACYACAGGCATAGCTCTTGTAGCAGGGAGCTGGGCACTGTCCTGTCCCATCCCAGGAGGATTTAACTCCATTGCTCAGGGCTTACCTGCAGTGACAACTGGATGTCTCCTTGTGGGTAGGGCCAGGAGTGATGAACTTCCCCTACCAAAAGAGAGGTTTCTCTGGAATCATTAATTTCTTTTCAGCCCCTCCCCTTGGACTTCRTGGCACTTTTCCATTATTCTGCAAGAGGAGTGGAGCAGAAGTTTCTGGTTCCACCTAGCAAGGGCTCATTTTGCAGCAGTAACAGTGCTGCTTTCCTAAGGCTCCAGAATCAGCTKGTCTGGCTCTCAGGAAAGACTCTTATTTGGTGTCTGAAGGTGAGCCTAAAGGTGTCTAAAGGGCTGTTTCAGAACATGAGGCTTTCTATTTACTCCCAGCACAAAATGTTGTGTTGCACAGAGCACATGAAGTGTTCCCAAACTCCCTGTGCCTTAAAACACCATGGGCACCCCCTCTTGGGGTCTCAGTGCCACACAAGCCAAAATAGCTCAGGCAATTTAATCTTCAGTGCTGAGCAACTGTCCAAGAGTCCCAGGGTATGGAAACTTCCACGGGGATCCTGATTACTGGGTAGAACCATTTTTCAGTGTGCTTCCCTGTCCTCAGCTAACTCAGCCACCATGGCCATGGGAGAGACAGACACCACCTCCCTGCCCCACAGAATTCAGTCCAGCACCAGGCTCTGGGTAGTTCAGGACTTCTGCTGCCCTCCATGCCCCATGCAGGCACAAACACCACAGCCCTTAGGCAGCCACTGCAGCTGAACAAAACCATCACCAACAGCACAGCCCTGCAGCCCCAGAGGCACCCCATGCTTACTGGGCAGGCAGAACAGCCTGCAGAACAGGCAGAACACTGCATGATCCAGGCTGAGAATCCTGGTGGAGCGATAAAAGAAAATGGGAGAGGCTTGAGCAAAGCAGGACCTGGAAGCTGTGTGTGGTCCATTGAGGAGTGCTGTGCAGCTGCTGCACTGCCCTTGGTCCCTTTCACTAAGCCATGGATTGGGAGAACTCAGATTATAGAYACTCAGAGTTTAAATGTGCCTGGTATATCCCAGGAGCATTGCTCAAATCACCAGATGACAATCACCAGGGATGTATTGAAGATCACCTCTTCAGCCTTGGCCAGTGTACAGGGCAGAAAAAAGGAGCCCCAAAACTAGAAGAAAAGCACAACAGAGGGCAGTGTGACTGTCCCAGCATTTGTGTGGCAATGCCACTGCAGCAAAGCAGCAAAATAACAATCACCCTCTGACAGCCCCAATGGGATGAGGCTGCTGCTCCAGAGCTCTCTTTTTTCTTTCTATTTCACTCCTTTTTTTCACAGACTGAAAAGTGACAATACTCACAATACTGGAGCCATGGCTTTTTTATGTTTTTTAGGAATATTTCAGAAGAGCCTTCTTGCAATTCTGAGCTCTTTCAGGGCTCCAGCTCTCCCTGCAATCAGAAATAAGGCCACAGCTACTCAGCGTCAATACCACCCTGGGCAAAAGCGCAGCTGGTAACCTTTAGCTGCTGTTGGGAGCTACAGAAATAGCCTGTGGGTGAAAGGAAGAGTTTGTTCAGCATTTCACCCTTTTAAACCTTTTTTTAGGAGAAAAGCCAGATGCTGCTTCCATATTCAACACTCCATCTCCCCAAAGTGATCATATGATTCTTGTCCTCGAATGAACGGTGTGTTTTTACTTCAGTAACCCTGCTCGGTAGGTTACCATGCGCATTTGTTACTTTCTGCATGACAAAGTGTTTTTCAGTTCAAACTTTCTTTTCTTTCTTTCTTTCTTTCTTTCTTTCTTTCTTTCTTTCTTTCTTTCTTTCTTTCTTTCTTTCTTTCTTTCTTTCTTTCTTTCTTTCTTTCTTT